ACCTGGCACACAGGTGCAAGCATGATTTTGCCAGAGTTGTTGCCATGTGAACCACAACATTCTGCGACCCCTACGAAGCTCCCAAGCCTTTGAGTCTTTCTGTAGCTTTTCCTAATTCCATGCTTCTCTCCAGGAATTCCACCTCCTCCCCGCCCCCACCCCACCCCATTCCACTGCTTCCTCTTCCTAGGGTAGCAGGGGTCCTCCCTCCCGCTTTCTGACTCTTCTCCTTTGCCCGGTGGGAGGATGGGGGCCCACAGGTCTCTCCCTCCCCACGGTCCCGATGCTGCCTTTGCAGAGGCCTGGCCTTCCTCTCCCACTGCAGCGACATATGACTTACTGTGAGCCCCTCTTGGAGACACAAATTCTTATAAAAACCAACAGCGAAACTTACTATAATATTAATTCAAGCTTCTTAGGTGAGGATCTGGGCTCCCTAAGAGGATAAACTGTACCAGCTGGTGCCTATTGGTGGCAGCAGCCATCAGTGGAGGGCTCATGCCTCAGGCCCTTAATACTAGATGGTCATCACAGTGTTGCCCGAAAAGCTCTACTTATTTGCATTACAGTGATCCTATAGTCTTCAAGGGGTTCTATAATCCCAGAATGCTTGCTCAGAACCCCCAGGATTTCTGCAGCACAGCTGTCGTGGCCCTGCCTCTAACCTTCTGGATTCCCAAGCCATCCTGCAAAGTCTCCCAAGGTTGCTGCTGTTCCCACCTTGCAGATGCAGGCAATGAGTTTCAACGGGATTGAAGCCATTTGCTCCAGGGCTGCCTGGCCCCATTCTGAGTGCTTCCTACTCTCCCTGCAGCACCTGGAGGAGTGAGCATCTGTTGATGACTAAGCACAAGTAGGCAGACAAAGGCAGGTGTCCAGAACCATGGTGTGGAAGGAGCCCAAGGGCATCCATGCCTGTGGTCTGTCACCAGTCCAGGGAGCTTTCTAGGACAGATCAAGATAAGACGCTGTACCAGAGTAGCAGAGTCATCCCCAGGGGCTCACCCACCACACAACATTCATTGTATGAATGTGTCTCTCACATTTTCCCCAGGAGAACTATTATTCCGGATTATCTGCAGAAATCCACCAGCAGTCATGAGCACATTGCAGCCAGAACTGGTGCCAAAAGGTGTCACTGAGAATGAAAATGGTCAGTTTCTTTAGTGCAGGACTTCTCAGAGCCTTTAATATGCTACTGTACATTTTAGATACTAAAGGGGAGTTAAACCACCTGTATTACACTGTACTATATTATACTGTGTTGTATTACATTGTACTGTATCTTATCCTATCATACTGTCCTATATTATACTGCATTAGACTATATTATATTGCATTATACTCTACACTATACTGCATATTACACTGCACTGTACTATTCTGTGTCATACTGTATTACACGGTATTGTATTATACTGTACTATCTTGAATGTATCATATCATACTGTATTTTCACAAAGCCAGACCAGTTCTGCGAAAGTCCCTTTGGGAAATGTCAGTATAATATCAGTTATCTCTTCTCTTTTTCTTCCCTCCCAAAAGAATTTCCCCTGGACTTCTAGTATTCAATCTTCTCTGCCTCCCAGATAGCAGCACTGGTACGAATCACCCTGAATTTTAACTCTAATTGAGACTGGATTCCTTTGCATTAGGATGGTGGTATTCACGGATATCAAGGTCATTTGCAAATGTATCAATATTTCTGCTTGATAAGAGCGGGGTCACCATGTCCCCAAGCAAGAGGCACGATCAGAAGAGCCAGTCCCTGCCCGTCAAAGTTCTCTAAAAGCACAAATACAAACATACAAGGGAAAAAAGACTCCTCAGAGAAGCACATCTTTAAAATTCATGGGAAATTTTACACTGAGATTAGCAATTCACTTTTTAAAACTTACGAAATGTTTTGTTTTGCTTGGGGGTGGGGGAGGGGGCAGAGAGCAAGATCAAAGCACCACCTCAGCACTTCCTCCTTGTCTTCCTTTTGTCTTAGCTGCTGTGCTGGGTGTTCTGCTCCGTGTGCACCAGAGTTTGGAACCGCCGGCCACTAGAGACTTGGGGAATGTCCCAGTTTAGATTACCACCTGCCAGGAATTCCCTGAAATTTCCAGCTGGAGTTTGCATGATGGACAGGCTCATCTTTGGAGAGCCCAGTTTGAAAGTTGGGAGTGGAACTTGAAGCCTGGTGTCATCAATAGGATCTCTGCAAACTCCTTGTAAACAGTCCCTCCAGTTCTGGAGAGTGGTGACTGATGGAATGAAAATTCTTTAGAGGCAGTTTTGGTCATAAGCAATGGAAAGCAACTCTGGTAAGGAAAAAAAAAAAAAAAGTGTTTCCCAGCACCCTACAGGCTGAAAATGGTTACTTTCTCTTCCAAGCTTCCCTTAAATCTAGGGGATTTAATTGCCATAATTGCCATGTGACACAATTCTAGTCAATGTAGGCAAAGGGAATTTTTCTCAGCAGTGTTGGGAAACACTTTCTTCCTTCTAAAGAGAGGCTCATGAGAACATTTATCTTGTCACATGACTGGATTCCTTTCTTCCTACATTTGAGCATGACTGGAGATGTGATTCTTGGGGATACTGCAGCCACTTTGTGATCATGAGGAGAGTATCACTGGCATACTAGAGATGATTGCATAAGATGACGGGAAGGGCTGGGGACCCCTGAGGTCACCTACCTCCCAGTTTCTTTTTATAATATTAATAAACTCCTATTGGTCAAGCTGTTTTCAACTGGGTTTCTTATTACTTGCATCCTAAAGCATCTCAGTGGAAATAGCAATCTGATGTAAAACCAAGCATTTTTACATGAGAATGCAGGTTCTTGACTTCTCTGGAAAAATCAGAAGACCTGGCAACACTGGGCTTGTCCTCCTACCTGACAGCAACCCGGAACTAAAGAGAGCCAGTTCCTTTTACCTGGGGTACATGTGCTTGAGTTGTGCAAGGCTTCCTCCACTCCTGACTCCTGACCTCCTCCCTCAGGTCATTCCTCTGCTAGTCTCTGCAGGAGTCGGACCGTGACTGCTGGTCTCTGAATTGATCTGAGCAGGTTCACTCAGTGGAGGAAGAAACATCTCAGGGACCACAGCTTCAGGGTGGGATCTGTTGGCAACACTGTGCCGCCTGCTTTGCCAGCGAGCCTGCATTAGGAGCCCTTCATGTCCAGAAGAGACTGGGCAGACAGAAATGCCTCATTATACATTATGGTGTTACTTAGCCTTCACGTTCAAAGAGCACGAAATTAACATATACGGATTCACAAAATCACCCGCCTTCTGTGAACGGACACAGTGATAATCTGTGCATAGCTTCATGCTATCACATCCTCTGTCACTTTATAATTTAATGAAAGCTTTGACATGGCCCATCAGAGGAATTTCCATTCAATTTTCAGCATTAATAATGCTCTGTTCTTCATTACTTTTCAGAATACTTCCATTGATCTGTAAATATAAGTATTTATATTAAATTTACATTACACGACCCAGGATTTTAAGTCCTCAGTATGAAGTGTAACTCTCACCTTCCTCCTGCTTACTACTCAGAACTTTGGTAAGTATAGAATCAAATAAGTATTTGACCTACATCAGGTAGTTTTGATTTTGTGTTTGTTTTCACAGTAGCAAAGGCTCCTTTTCCTGCATTTTTATTTTCAACTATTTTTGAGAATTATAACATTTAGTTGAATCAGAATATTTAATTTTCTAATTTTATATGAACTTGAGCTCTGGATTTCAAATTATGTCTTATAAATGGCTATGGTTAAGCTTTTAAAGTATATCACATCTGTTTTCGAAGTTGTTTATGGGTGTAACTACTATAATTTTTCGAAATCAAGAGTCTGACTTCAAATGAAAGCCAACTCAAGCCCTCCGTTCCCCCACCCCACAAGGGGAGGGTCTCCCCACAGCCCTGTGCTGAGCCCAGTTTGGAAGGACTGCAGCTGGAGTGGGCCGCACAGGGGCTCCCTTCGAACAGTGGTGTGTGCACTCTAGGCCTGAGCTCTCAGTGTAGACAACTGATCAGAACAACCTGGTGGTTCTCACTGGCACCCCCAGCCCAGAGCTGCCCAGGCAACAGTCTATCTGTATAGCCACGTGAGTCTTTCCAGAGATAGTCTGTGGCAGCAAGTGCTGCAAAGGGACAGTCCTTAGTCATCAAAGTTGTGCCCCTTTGCAGCAGGCCCAGGGACCTGGAGAATCACAGGTGTGTCTGTTCAGAACAGAATGAAGGGAAGGCTCACTGCCTTGGAAAGAACAAAGTGGCCAAGGAGCAGCAGGCTGTGCTCTCAGACTGATAAGGGTTCTCGACAGGCTGAGCTAGAACAGGGCATTCCTGATTCTGTTCCTGTACTTTGCATAAGAACCTGGCTACCATGCTGAAACGCCACTGGCTGGACTGGAGTGGGAAGGCGCCACTTTCTGAAGAAGACTTCTAGCAGAGTCCTGCAAAACTCAGGTCCTAGAGGGGAAAACTCCTCCCCGGACGGAGGCCACCTCTTACTGCCAGAGGTCACCCAGCCACTCCCTGTGAAGGATCCAGAGGCCCCCAGCCCTCAGAAAACCTCAGTGACCTCCTCTCCATCCTCACCCTCAGGCCCCTTTGTTTTCCCTGCATTTGCTGAAAGCCTCTGTGTGAACTCATTCGTCTCATTTCCTTCTGAATTCCAGGATTCAAAGGCTCTGGAAATACCAAGGCTGGAGCCTCAAACTTCAGCTCCATTTTGGGGACCTATGCCCTGGTAAGCTGACCTTCCAGAAAGATTCCAAAGCTTGGCGCCCGGAATGACCCACAGCCAGACCTGGACCCACTCCCCACCCCGGCCTCGGCCTCTCCGAATGATTTTTGCCACCCTGGCCAGCCAACACCGTGTCTTCCAAGTGGGAGGTTTTATTAGGTTTTACGACCATGAAAACACAGGACAGTGGCGGTTACAGCGAACATTTCAGCTAAAGGAACAGAGTCGCACCCGCCCTGTCCTTGGCGCCTCCTTCCCTAGGTCTCTCACAGATTCTCCCTGCGTCCTCTCTTGGCAAATTCGAGAAAGTTGAGAAGACACATTTAAAGTAGCAGGAATACCACCAGCAAGATGGAAGCAGAAGGATAACTTGGAGAAACAACGGATGAGAAACACGCTACAGAAAAACCTCTTCTACTGCATTAGGGTATGGGGCGGGAGAGCGTGCCCCGGGCTCAGCGTCCATCCCCCGGAGACCCTGGTCATACAGGGCCTTCGGTGATGCCCTCCAGAGGCATGCTGGGCGCACTGTCAGCGGTGGGCCGCTCCTCCTTCTTCAGCGACGTCGGGACCCGGAGGCTGACGTAGGGTTTGTGACAAGCTGTGTTGGCCAGAGGGGGGTAGTGCTGTCTGTAGCAAATGTAGGCAAAAATGAGGCCAATGACTCCACCGACAAAAGAATCTAGGCAGAAAGAGCAAAACAGGAGAAAAGTGTTATGACGCATTCGAATGTGGCCAGTTGCGTTTTCCAGAAAGCCCTCTGCTCACCTGCTGCAGTGAGTGGCTTGCTTGCTGGATCCCTTGAGAGACTAAAGCAAAGAGAAACCATGCTGGAGGTTTAGATCTCCATGGCCTCTGCAGATCTTTCCATTTCAAGGACTTAAAGATTCCTTGAAAATGCTTCCTTGATTTGCTCTTAGGTCTTTAATATGGACTCAAACATCACATGATCTCAGATTTGCACTCTTGGATGTTAAAACCACTTCTAGGTTCTGGAAGTCCAGCCATGTCTATAGGATTGAGACAACCCGGTGGGGGGCTGTGCTTTCTTGTCCTTCAGCAAGTTCCTGCTGGAGGCCAGCACTGCCAGAGAGCTATGGAAACCCACTGGGAGTGCTGTCTCTGCCTCGGGGTCCGTGATTTCTCAGGGAAGAAATACACTTCGGAGTCACAAACCTCAGCATTTTATGGTGCACCAGGACTGGCAACTCAACACATCTCTGCTGTGAGAATCCCAGTCCCTGCAGCATCTCATCAAGTCGGGGGATAGAAAGGGTCGGGGAGGTGGGGGCAGGAGGGGGCATCTGCAGCCAGAACAGGCCCCTCCATGGCAGGGCAGTGGGGGGCAGCCCCTTGCCCAAGCAGGCATTCGGCTGATGCCCAACAGAGACTGAATCAGAGCAGTCCACCCTAGCAATCCTCACCCCACACTTCGTGTGTGTGGATGTGCACGTGTTGCCATTTTAAACTGTGTCTATGGGTTATTACTGCCAGAAAGACCCTAGCACACTGGCAAACCTTCCCTAACAAAAGAAATTTGGGACTCCTTTGAAGATTTCTGCCAGGATGAACTGTCATTCTCCATTCGGGGTTTCTGCTTCCACGTTTTTAATCTTGTTGGGCTGCACACACCTCTTAGAGGCAAATAGCATCATGGATTCCTGAGTGAGGTCACAAGGCATAATTTTTCTTTTTTTTAAATTTAATTTTATTTAAATCCAATTAATTAACACATAGCATATTATTAGTTTCAGAGGTGGAGTTCAGGGGTTCATCAGATGCATATAACACCCAGTGCTCATTCCATGAAGGGCCCTCCTGAGTGCCCATCCCCCAGGCACCCCATCCCCCCCATCCCCCTCCCCTCCAGCAGCCCTGCTTGTTTCCTAGAGTTAAGAGTCTCTTATGGTTTGTCTCCCTTTCTGATTTCATGTGATTTCACTCATATGTGGAATTTAAGAAACAAAACAGATCATGGGGAAGGGAGGGAAAAATAAAATTAAGACAAGGCATAATGAACAGGGTTACACCAAGTTCCTCAAAAGGAGAAGCTCTTCGCAGTGCCTGTGGCCAGCAACCTATAAAAATAGGCCAGGACCCCAGGGTCTGAGGCCAGAGCGTTCCACTGCTGTTTTGATCTTTCTCTAATACCAGGGAGCAGCCGCATAGGACAATGATTTCTTATTCGAGTCTGAAATGACCCATGGCACCTGCATTTGAGTCACCGACTCACTGACCAGACCAAAGAGCAAAGCCTACAAATAATGTCATTCGGCTGGCAAGTTTCTGGGGTAGGGCATCTCCTTTGGTGCACCACTGGCCATGGGACATAGAATCCTCCGGAGCAAATGTTCTCCAGGCTTACAGGTGGAACAGCACGCGAGGGCGAGGCCAGGGCTGCCCACGCTGCTTTCCCAGTGAACGGGAAGAGGGGAACGTGGTATCACAGGTCCACTGGCGTCACCAGAAATGACAGGGCAATGCCAGGTCCAGGCAAGCTGCCTTCTCGGCTGGGTCATGTGGCACTTTATTACAAAGGTGGTGAACGAGATCCAAAAGCTCACTTCCTTTAGGAGGGAGACGGTCATCAAGTGACTCAAGTGGGCCACTGTTATGATGATGAAATCACTTTCACATCCTGTCCGGCCTGTGCTGACAGAAAAGCAGGCAGGGGACAGGCAGGACGTTATTATGGGAAAAACAGCTTGGGATCGACTTTACCCTACATATGGCAGCATGGGACTGGAGCGTTCAAAAGGGGAATCAATGGATCTCAGCGCCCCTGAAGCACAAGATGCTGGTCTCCTTACTCAGCATCAGTGCTATTCCATTCCTTCCACGTCTGTGTTCCACATGGGTATCAGGTGTCCGGTGCGACGTCTGGCCCTCGGGCACGAGGCTGAACAACACTGACACCTCACAGTCCGGAGGGGCCAGATGGACCCTGACTAGCGACAGGCTTATCCGTGAGCCACAGCCGTGATACACATCTCGAAGGAGAAGCGTGGGTCTGTGACAGCAGAACAGCCCGGGCTAGTCCCGTTGGACCAGGTGAGTTTCATGGAGGGCACCGCCCCCTGCCCCCCAGGCCAGCCCTGCAGGATGGCAGGCGTGAGCCAGGAGAAGTGGGAAGTGGAGACAGCAGGCATGCAGAGGACAGAAGGAAGGGGCTTGGCAAATGTGGGAAACAGAAGGACCGACCATCTTTTACAAAGGTCTGGTGTCTTTATCATTCCACAGGACAGAAGTTGACCATCAGGTAGTTCATGTACCCTCGAGCATGGACCAGGGACCCCGCTGGCTTTCTGGGAGACTGTGCACACTTCTTAACCTACACCTACCACTCAGGACTCACTTCCCCTTGATGGTCTCCCTCATCTTCGCTTCCCAGAGCCCAGCAGTCATTACTCGGTAAATGTCCGGTGAGCAGGGACGTGTCGACCCACACTGACGAGATGGAAGCCCTAAACCAGCGACATCACCAGCCACAAAAGGCCCCACGCTGTGTGATCCCATGTACGTGCAGTGCCCAGAATAAGGAAATCCATGGAGAAAGGAAGAACGATTAGTGTTTGCCAGGGGCTGGGGTTGGGGTTTCTTTTGGGGTGAAGAAAATTTCCTGGAATTAGATAGTGATGATGGTTGCACAACTCTGAACATACTAAAAACCACAGAACTGTGCACTTTATAAGGGGTGAATTCTAAGTTACGAATTGTACCTCAACAAAGTGGGGGGCGGGAAACTACACTAGAGGGGCTCCAATGGTAGTAGAAAGAGGCTTTGCATCAGGCAACGTGAATTTTAATCTTATTTATAAAATGGGCATGACCCCCTCCCCCTTCTCATGAGGTCAAAGGACAAGAGAGGATCCCACTGGGCCTGGCACAAACAAGCAGAAGGGCTCTGAAGAGGTGCTGTCAAGTCCCCTGGGGGAACACATCCCTGTCTGTCACCATGGTGACATCCAATATCACTGAGCTAACTTGACTTGGGAACTTATATGCCTTGGGCTGTATGACCCAGGACACTACAGGAAAAATCAGCTCTGACAAACTCAACAACCCCACATGATACTTTCTGTTCCTTTCATTCTACTACTAGTGAAGCTTTCTATTTTTGTGGCTTTGAGCTTCTATGAAAGAATTTCCACAGCACAGAGGATAGAAGATCTGGCTGGTGTACCGGGAGTTGGAAGGGCGGCTGCCATGTCTGTCTTTCTCAACACCACACATCGGGGGGAGAAGATGTCTGGGACACCGGCACGAGCGACATAATGACTGAATGAATGCTTCAAGTCACATTTTTTTGTTCATTTTTGAAGGGAAAGAACTTGTAGAGGAAAGGTTAATTTTAATAACCCCCCAAAATTTAAATAAAACCAGTGTGAAGGAAAAGATGATACTACTAAGAAAGAAACATGATTTAGTAAGACTCATTCATTCATTCGTTCCCTCATTCAACACATCGACTGGGCACCGTTAGGAGCTGAATTGTGTCTCCCCACCCTGTAAAAAAGACAAGTTGAAGTCCTAAGCCCAGTACTTCAGAACGTGGCCTCATCTAGGTACAGATTCTATACGGGGGTCATCGAGTTAAAACGATCCTGAGGGTGGGCTCTCATCTACTGTGACTGGTGTTCTTACAAAAGGGTAAATTTGGACTCAGGGACAGACCCCCACAGAAGGAAGATGATGGGAGCTCAACACGGGAGGTCGAGATGGGAATGATGCTGCCATAAGGCAGGGAACATCTGGGGTTTCTAGAAGCTGGAGGAAGCCCAGAAGGATCTTCTCCCTACAGGTGTCAGAGGAAGTGTGGCCCTTCTCACACCTTGACTTTGAACTTCCAGCCTCTAGAACTGTGAGACCATTTCTATTGTTCTAACCCACCGGGTCTGGGGAACTTTTTATAGACCCCAAGGAAACTAACACAGGCACCTACTACGTGCCACGGCAACAAGAGACAAAAATCCCTGCCGACATGGAGGCTGGACTCTAGTGCGGTGTTTCCCAACTACGCATCGCGTGAGCTACCGGCTCCGTGTTGTCCACGGCTGTTTGCACACGACTACAGCCAAATCCTGGAGTTGCAACAGAGACCGTCCGGCTCACACAAAGTCTAAGATAGTTACTGTCTGACCCTTTGCAGAAAAAGCCTGCAGACTTCTGTTGTAGTGGATAAGGACAGACAATGATCAACACACCGCAAACTACGCGGTTTGTTAGACAGAGATGCATGAGCAAGATGAGAGCGACAGGGAGCGTGGGGAAAGCGCTGCGGTTCCAAGAGTGATCATCACGAAACGTCCTCACCCAGAAGGGGACACTTGAGCCAAAGCTAGGAGGGGGAAGGGAACGAGGCCCACCTATAGAGGGAGTCGGATTCTAGAAATACCCTGAGCAGAGAACCCACAACAAACACCAGAGAAAATGAGAGGACGTAGAGGGGAGAAGGATGGGAATGACGTGAAGCCTGGAGGTCATCAACGAGCCTTGTGAGCAGCCAACATCCCTCATCCCTGGGGACTGAGCAACAGCGGAAAGCAAGGGCTAACCTGGAGGTCAAGAGGGCAGAGGGCCTGACTCATGCTCCTCTGGCCTGGCCCAAAGCGCTGTCCAGTGGGTTCTGAGGGAGGGGGGCAGACAACCGGGGGTTGCACACAGCCTCAGCCCTCCTGTGGGGGATGCCTAGGATAGGAAGGCAGAGGTGGGCAGATTCATAAGGCCGAGAGGCGGAGAAGCTCCCAGACCCTGAGCTACATTCCGCAGCTGATGCTGAATGTGAATACAGACCCTGCCACAGAGGGCAGCCCACCATGGAGGGAAAATGGGTTGAAATCAGGTCGCTCCAGACCGAGAATATCTGTGGGAGACTCTCAGTGTTTCTGTTTTACTCAAGGTGGTGCGATCCTGTTAGGAACAGTAATATAATTTCAAGGGCTCCTTTGCTTTGCTTTTTTTTTTTTTTTTAATTTAATTTTTTTTTCCAGTGTTCCAAAATTCATTGTTTATGCACCACACCCAGTGCCAAGGGCTCCTTTTCAAGTCACTTTGTTTAGAAAATCTAGAGACTGCTTCTGACAGACCAAGGAAACAGCTGGTCAACAGAGTGTATCCCTCAACCGTGTGTGTGTGTGTGTGTGTGTGTGTGTGTTTAGCAGGGAAGGGGTAGCAGCCTCTTCCTGGCTCTTCCCAACCACCTCATCTGCAGGGCTGATCATCTCCTGAAGTCTGGTAACTACACAAAAATTCATTTCAAATCACAAACCCTTCACAGCCCAGTCAGGGAAACATGGGGAAGGCAGTGGCAGCCCCCGAACACTTCAGCCCGGCCAAATATGGCGTCTGTGATGGCCACGGATGCTTGTTAACCTCGGGCTGGGTGGGAACGAAGGACCGTTTCCTCCCTTGAGACCCACTTTTCTGTATTACATTCAGAGGGGATGCTCTTTCTTAGAGTGAAACACCACACAAGCACCCAGGGCCACTTAAACGACATTATGATTACAGAAACCAGTGTCGGTTGGAAGATTACTCCCAAATGTAGAGTCGCATGAGGAAAGCCTAGATCCAGATCCAGGAATTTGAGGGGCAGAGTGAACTCATGATTATGTCCACTCATATAACAAATAATACCTTCCTGCCACTCCTGTGATTTCTCACTGACTAGAAATCATAAACCCACAAGCCTAGGAGTTGAGGCAGAAGTGAGTTCAGTAAGAAGCTCTGCCCTTTCTCTATATTTTTCTCCACACGTTTTTCTCAGCAAGGGAGTTCCGTAAGTTTTAACTCTTGAAAACATGTGGCTAATCACAAAGATTAACCTCTTTTTGAGGTGCTGGGCTTGGCTGTTAGCATCACCCATGAAATCCTGTAGCTTCCACTTGACCTGAAAGGCGGCATATCATAAAGACATGGAGACTCTCAGCCATGTACGGCCTCAGGACCCATCCATCTGGCTTTATTTCTGCACAAGTCCTGCTAAATGTTTCACAGGCCTCTTCCTGCCATGGCCTGTGCCCAACATCTTCTTCACTTAATAAAACAACAGGCTTGTCTGTTTGGAGTGGAGCTGGGAAGGCAGAAAAGATGAGAAGGGTGTTGATAACAGAAAATAACCATGGTAATGGAAAGAGGGAGGCATTTGGGATTATGGGCTATTTATTGGATAAGAATATATAATCAAGTAATTGGATGTACTTCTATATTAGACATAGTTGTGTAAGTCAAAACTGAAATGGAGTCATAAAAATCTCATAATATTAATGCTGTTAACTAAAGTCTATAATGGGAGGGATTTGGGTTTTGCTGACGCCTACGGGGCTCTGCATGGATTCCCATCATGACGGGCGGCGCCTGCCCACGGTCACTGGGCTCAGTCTGCGAAGGAAAACAACTTATTTCTCTCCATCAGGCATCCTGCCTCAAACGCACACCCACAATGCCCATCCCTTCTCCAAGCTGGAAACTTGGGAGGCCTCCCTGATGACTCCCTTAATGAGTGAGTGTTCAATGAATAAAATTCCCCGCTCGTTGGACACTGCCGCTTCCTAACATGTAATAAGGGGGAGGAAAGATGGCGCCGAGGTACACCTTAGATCAGGGCTTCTCAACCTCAGCAGCAGCCATCCAGGGCCGGGGAGGTCTGTGCTATGAGGGAGGCACTGTCTTGTACATTGTAAGAGGTTTAGCAGTAAACCTGGCCTCTCCCCACCAGGCTCCGGGAGCAACCACATCCACCACTAGCCCCCAGTTGTACAGACGAAAAAGATATCTGCAGATATTGCCAAATGTCCCCTGGAGGTACAGTCACCCCCTGCTGAGACCACGGGTGTAGACAGCGACAGACGGCCTCATAAAAGGGAATTCAGGTCAAATGAGCCAGACTCCTTTCTGAGCCCGTTAAAGAGTCCAAGGAAAAGCACGCATGCTCCTCTCCTGGCTGATTCTGGGGTTAAGAAATGAACAGACGACACCAGTGAACTGGTCTTTAGGCCACATCAATGACCTAGAACACCCCACGTACATTCAGTTTTGCCTGTGGGAGTCTAGTATAGCTCAAGTCTGGCCCTAAACATCACTGAACATAAATTCTCTTGCTCTGCTTTCCTATCAGCCCACAGAGCGTTACTAGTCTCCTTCTACTGCTCCAAGCTCCTTTCTGCGTCCGCTGGAAAAGACGGGTCTCAAGCCCTGTTGTGAGCAGGCCTTCAAGGCCGCAGGTGCATCATGAGCCCACCACCTCTGGAAAGCCTGGGACTGCGAGTCCTCATCCTTTCCTGATGTACCGGCCCCAGCAAGGTAATGAGGGAAAACCAATCAGGACCACAAGTATTTAAGAGAGGCCGATCTCAGGTCTGAGGGTTTCAGGACAAGTTTACTTCACAAAGGCCCTGACTGCCTTGCAAGATAAAGCAGCGCTCTATTCAAGGATGAAACCCGTCATCATTTCACAGATCTAAAGTGCCCCAATCAAAGTGCAAACCAGGGACTCATGGCTCACAAACAGACTGCGTTCCAAAAACACGTCTGCCTCTAAATCAGTTGTTGGGGAAACACAACTCATCCTTCTCCAGAAACAATGCGGGAAGCAACAACAATACCAATTTGTGTTTGTGTAGTATGTTTTCGCTCACAAGATACATTTGGATCCATGATTTCATTCGGTCTGTAAAAGAGCCTGTGAAGTACTGGGGGGTGATTGTTCCCAAGCTCAGAAGAAGAAACTACAGCTCACAAGGGATAAATCAAGAGCCGTCCATAAGACACCAGCCAGTCCGTCCTGTTCTTCATAGAGAGACGCCCTCATCATCTGGGCAATAATGATTCTGTTGGAAACTAGTGCCGTGCACGGTGGGTAGGCCTTGGTGCTGCTCCTCGGCGACTCTGCCCCTGCCGCCCTCCCATGATGGAGCTTTGTGTCATCTGGAGCTCCGTCCGAGTCATTGTTCAGCAGATCGCAAGGGAGGGCTCAGGGCTCAGCCTTATGGCTTCTAGTGATTGCCCCCCTCAGGAGGGCCTCAAGACCCTCATCCCTACTTGACCCATCCACCTGCGGAGACCATGCATCAGTCGCTCTCTTTACCCTGAAGCCTTGGCTCTTAGCTCAAAGCTGCTGTTAGAAGGAAGCCCAGAGCATGAGCTCCAGGAGGCTGGAGAGTGGAGCTGAGGCCAGGGAAGGAGCAGGAGAAGCTAGAGAAGTACCAGGAGGAGTGGGAGGCCCCAGAAAAGATGGAGAGATGGTGTCCCCAGCTAGGAGCACCCCTTACCTCTGGCCTCATCTGCTACATCACCACCCCTGGAATAAATAGCTGGGAAGAGGCCAGAAGTGCGCGGGAACACAAGGCAGCTGGCTGCAGAGACAGGAAAGGGGGAGGAGGAGAACCGCCTGAGGGCAGCAGGAAATGGCAAGGGAGAGGATGGGCAGACCACAGGCTGATGGGAAAAGTCATTCAGATCGCGGGAAACTGGATTTGGCACATGTATAATTCAGTCTGTTGGCTTAAAGTCGACACACTAGAGCTCTTCCCCAAAGCCGCTCAGAATTCATCAGAAATAACCGACTTGCATGTTAATGCAGACGCCTGGCCACTGCTCCAGACCCACCCCCCAAGCTGGCTTCCTGTGTCAGGGTGGCCTGGTCAAGGTGACCTGAGGCTCGCCCTGTGGGGAACGTGGCCCTCCATCCTGCGCTGCTGGGGGCACGGAGTCCCATGGACGTCCCCTCTGCCCCTGCTCCCTGCTTGCCATGGCAGCTGCTAGAGACGGTCAGCTGGCTGTGAGCAGCAGCCTATCTGCTGGGAGACAGGGCGTGCTGCAGTTTTATTCCAGCCCCGCATTTGTTGGCTGTTAGTTTTGCTTGTCTCAGATACTCCAGGAGTCACGTACAGGTAAACCTCACAATAGCCTCGTAGCAGCGGCTCAGAACGCCACTGGCGTTGATCCCTGGGCTGGACCCATCCTTTGGAAGTGCATCTGTGGTGAGAGATACGTCCTTGCGTGACAGATGTGAGATGTGAAAGGAGCCAAAAACCACTTGGCACCAAGTCTAAAGACTGAGGCAAGTGATGGAGCAGGGCAGTCACAGTTGGGTCTGAGGCCCAGGGTCTGCCTTCCTGCTGGAACCTGGGCACAGAGGGAAAGGGGCAGCTTCCGTGCTACCTCCAATAAGGGCAGTATGGAGGTCAGAGCTCACACGCACAGGCAGGTTTTCTCTAAAAACTGTATCTGTGGTTATTTCAACCTACACTGGTCTGACAGTGGGCAGCTGGTTCCCCCTGAATGGGTACCTTTCTACACCCCTCCCTTCAGGAGAGTGTCAGACGACACCATGAGGACTAGGCAGGCCCTGGGCAGGGACTCACCTTGCCAGTGATGCTTGTAGTCACACATACGGGACAGGGCAATCATCATGGCGCAGTACAGGGGCAAGATGGCGGCACAGAGCCGCCAGCTCTTCCCCCGCCCACTCTCGGTGAAGCAGTGCAGCTTGCCAGCCAAGTAGAAGGTCGTGAAGCCAAGGCCAGAGAAGGCAACTGCCAAAGAGAAACAGCAGGTGTTACACTAGCAGGTGGTAAGTGGCAGGGACACAGCATGTCCTGGGCATCCTGTCTACCATCTTGCACACCCCAGGGCCAAGGCATACTGGCACCAGGCACGGTCTAGGCAATCTGTGCTCTTGCTAGAACCACGCTGGTATGAAAGTTTTAACAATGAGAATGACCTTCCAGACTTGTGTCTGATCAAAATCTATTCTATTTCATTCATTCATTCATTCATTCACTCAACAATGATTTAATGGGTAGCTATGTGCTTTAGACAGACACTGCTCTAGGTGGGGGAATAACAAAGTGTGTCCAATGCTCTTTCTGTGTCAAGGGTCTCAAGGTCTGGTTGAAAGACACAGCCATGTGTAGAGAGGATTTCAATATAATGTGTTGGGTTCTATAAAAAAAAAAGTGTGCACAGAATATAAGACTATGATGACTCCTTAGATTTGAAGAGTGAGGGAAAGGGAGAGAGTTGGGGCTTGGTGGCGCTCAGTAAGATGGGTTCAGCACAACTATGGAGCAGTGAGTTTGATGGAGAGGTTGGCAGTGACAAATGTCTCGTTTTCTTCTAAAAATTATGGCTATTGATTTTTAGAATTGCAAAGACAACTCATGACTGCACTAAATCTGTTTTTGAAAGCGTAGAGACCAGGTGTAGCTTGTGTAATTCCAAGACTTCTTACCCAGTCAGGTTTAGAACACAGCTGGAACTCAGTGAGATTTAAAGCAAGTTTTGTGTGGGTTTAGTCTTCCGTGGGTTTAGAATGATCTGCAACCCTGGCTACCCATGGAGTAGGAAGTTGAAAACCTAAAAAACCTAGGAAGCTTTACAAAATCCTCATAGCCTGTCTCGCCGCTGAACATTCTGCTGCTGCCGGTCTGCTGGTCTGGAGCACGTGTGTGAGTGTGAGTGTGTGAGAATGTATGTGTGTGGGAGTGTGTATGTGTGTGTACATGTATAAGTGTGTGTGCACGCATGTCTAAGTGAGTGTGCACATGTGAATGTGTATAGCTGTATATGAGTGTGTATGTGTGTGCGTATATTTGAGTACGTGCATGTGTGTATATGTGAGTATGTGTGTATAGGTGTGAATGTGTCTGTATAAGTGTGTGAGTATATGTGTATGTTTGAGGGTGCATGTGTGCATGCATGTGAGTGTGTGAGTACACATGAGCCGTATGTGTGAGCATGTATATGTGTGCGCACATGCGTGTGTGCCTAAGCGAGCATGTCTGTGTGCGCATGTGTGTGTGTAGGAGCATGTGTGTGCATATGCATATGTATATGTGAGTGTGTGCGTGTGTGACTATGCATGCGTGTACTCCCCAAGTGCTTCCAGCGCCAGCCAGGGTTGAGCTTTGCACACTCGTAGAAGCCACAGCCCCTGCCTCCTCTAGACACCAGCCTGATCAAAGCTTTCCTCTTGGAGAGAAAATCCTCCAGAGGGGCAGACTGCTTGGTAATCAGCCCCCACAGGGACCTGGTAAGAACCGTCTTGCAAACACTCCGGATGACAGACCACCAGCGGTGTGGGGGAGACTGCCCGATCCAGAGCAGCAGCCTCAGTGTTCCTGAGTTAGGGACGGATAAAGGACGTCAGGCTGGCCCAGACCTGCTGAGTTAGACTCTGCATCTCCCAGGGTCCACGAGAGACCTGAGGGCACTCTCCAGTCTGCGGGCCTGCCTCAAACACACTCAGCCTCTTATAAGACTCCCTAAGAGGGCACCTCAGGGAAGTAATCCAAAAATATGGACAGCTCTAGAAGAGTTATTTATAATCATAGAACAATGGAAGATGGGGAATGCAGAGGCACAGAGAAGCAAACCGTGATATTTCCATTCAGGGGACTGTGACGCACCCAGGAAAACCACAGCTCACACAGGGCGACAGACAATCCTCACGGTACTATGTTAAGGGGAAAAAGCTGGACCTCAAATTGTAGGTTCAAGATAATCGTGGCCACAGCATGTAAAAATGGCTAAACTGTAGCTTTACTAAATTATCTCTCATAATGTATCTTTTTTTTTTTTTTTTTAAGAGAGAGACAGAGAGAATAAGTGGGGTTGGGGAGGGGCGAGGAAGAGGGAGAAAAAATCTTCAGCAGGCTCCACGCCCAGTGCCGGGTTGGATACCACGGCCTTGAGATCATGACCTGAGCCTAAATCAAGAGTCAGATGCTTAACTGACGGAGCCACCCAGGTGCCCCCATAATGTGTCTTCTTAAAAGGGATCCCCCAGGCACAAACATGAGCTTGTGCCAAAGTAAGAATGTTTCTAACAACCAAATTAAGGTAAGTGAAAGGGGTTGGTTTTGTTTTTTTTTTTTCCTTTTTAAACAATATTAAATCAGGTTTATCTCAGGAATAAAAATGAAGCACTTAAACATTTTTGAACAATAATTAGCACTTAAACAGCAGAGCAGTGCCCATGCATATTAAATATTCCATTTAAAAGAAGAATATGTAAGAAGCTTCATCGTCCAGGCCTGTTTTACATTTTTGCTACGATGGAAGGTTTTTAAGTGACTTACGGGTACTCGAGAGTGGTCCCATTTGGCCTCCATCCTAGCAAGCACAATGGGTTCTTAATTTCCCGTCCTTACCCACGTTGCTCTGCTTCTTCTATCCATTTACACCCTCCTCTGAGGTAGCAGAATGGGAGGGGGAGGCTGGACAGTTGGCTCTGGTGGGTACTGGCCTCATCCTGAATTCTTAAGGAGGAGTAATGGAATTCACTCAAACCAGACAGCTTAGCAAGTCTATCTGGCTAATTATGCTGAATGTGGGAGCATAAAAGAACTGTCCTGGGGCTGTGTAGGGTTATGGATGAAAGTCTCCAAGATTTCAATCAGAGAGGTAGCCTTAAGTGTTGCCAAACTGGCATCTCTTGGGAAAAGAAACACAACCAAAAAGAGGACGTCCACGAGTACAAGGCAGATGAGGGCAGGAATTTGTCTGTATCCCCGTAAAACAAATTTATTTGGAGACTTTAGGACAGACAAATCCCAGCTCAAGCAGCCACCAGAGCCTCGAGGCACAACACGGGCAAGGGAAGGGGCAGCTGAAAACCCTCCAAGGTCAAGACCTGGGGCAGGTAGCTCAAGGCCAGGCCCTCAGGCTGCACTAGATCACCTCCTGGTCCCCCTGGAACTCGAATTTGGCCAGCTTTGGCAGCCACGGACTGGCACTCATTCTTTGGACAGCAGGTAAAAGGTACTCTCCCTCATGCCCTGGGACCCACGCCCCAGCCCTCCAAAGTGTGGGAGTGTCTGCTGCTTTGAAAAGGAGCAGGGACTCACAGGCATTTTTAAAGGCTGGGTTCGACCGTCCAGATCCTGCCGGCACCCAGCAGCAGCTGCTTTTCTACATATTCTATTGGGCCTTTGGGCAACATTTTTAAAGCAGCACTTTATGCCTTGACTTTTCTAGGTGATACGACAGGCTCCAAATTCATGCTAAACCTCATGCTTGTTACTTTCTCAGTGGCATTCACGTTGAGCCAAAGGTTTTCGGAGGCTCTGCCTTGTGGCCTGGAAGGCACATGGGAGCCACGGACACCATGGGCACTTTGCATTTCTGCTTTCCCGAATACTGTCCGAATTAGAACTAGGCTCTGCCAAATCGCACTGAATTCATACCATCCCACATTTTGTTTTGCCACCTCCTCCCGTGAGGCTGGGGGTTTGGGACCAGCCTGTAATCTCCTGGGAGCCGTCCAGCTCTCAGATCCTGGGGCTCACTGGGGCTCAGATTCGATTCAACTGGGAGAGATAGAAAACAGGGAAGTCTTTAAAGGCTTTCCAAGGCGAGCCAAGCGACACCCTATTCTCTTCTCAAAGAAACATGCACTTGAGACCCTGCAGAGCTGAAAAACCTTTTATGCTCATGTAGAACAGGTGAGACCTGGTTCATTCCGCCGGCCTCTCCCCTTAAACACAGCCCCCCCACCCTTCCAGCATGATTAAGAAACGGAACTGAAAGCAAAGCAGTCAAAGCGGCGGACCTTCAGAAGATGGAGATCATAAAGTAGGGGAAATGTGTTCCTATTGTGCTAACATCATGAACAGAAATATGATTAGAGCACTCCCAAGCCAGTGGGCAAGAGGGTGCTGGGATTCTAGCTGTCCCTGGGGCTCCAAACTCTTTCATTTGCTCTCCAGAGTTTGAAACACACACAAGCTCTCACAGTGATCTATGAGGAAGAGCATATGCTCCTTGCTTTCAGAGCCCGTAGCAGGTTGTCTGAACTAGAAACAGCTGATTGTAAATATTTATATGTTGATCTGGCTGTGAAAAGCAAAAATGTTCTTGGAGCCTGTACACTAGGAAGCAGATGAAGGAGAATGATTTCCCCACCCTGTTTCTGGCACTTTCAGCCGCACTCCTGGCACGGTCCTCAACGAGAGGAGATAAGCAAAGCATCACAATACAACTCCTGGCCCAGGACATCTCAAGTCGCCTCCCCTGTACAGGGCTCTCTGCCTGCCTGGGGATTCTGAAAGGGAATGACTGGTTCTTCTCCCAGGCTTCATAGACCAATTGTCACAGGTTTATAACTCTCTCTTTGCAAAGAAAGTTCTATTTATGGAGCTAGCTTAGGTGAGATAATGTGGTTTCCCTCCCCACCCATTCCCCTCAATTGACTTTTAAAGCAAGTTGAAGACTTTCGGACCCCAATGATTGCCAGAAATAAGAAAATTGGCACGCACAAACACAAAGATTTCAAAATAAAATGAGGTAAGAATTGGGGAAACAGATTCTGCTTTGCGTGTTGTGTTTTTCACTTTTGCTAATTTTAATGAATTTCCCCAGGCAAACTGATCATTCCTGGCACCAAAAATGGAATTGTACCCTGATGAAGTAATCTGTACAAATTTTCCATTTTATGATGCTCAAACAGCTAGAATTTTCTTCTCCAAGAGGGAGAAGGGCAATACCAGATGGCTGAATAAATCTTAATACTGAAGGGGGTTTTGAGAACATC